GCCCTGGTTTTACAGTCACAGGTGTATGTTGTTGACGTGGTCGACACAGGTACCGTTGACACATGGGTCTGTGACACAGTCGTCAATATCTAAAATTATATGTAACACTTTCATTGTTAATTAATCAATAGTATCGGGATGTATAATTGTCTGTACAAACGAATAGGTGTTAACGTTAATTGTGCCTTCTGCGCCGTGCATACCTCTCGCTGCTGCGAGCGGATATTGCCCGGAAACCTTGAGGTCCGTACTAATGAGGTGCCTGCTACCAGTGTTATAGAAATATTTAACCTGTGAGATACGAAAAGACGTCTCACCTGTGCTGCAGTTCAGTCTGTGTACCCAGGTTCACGGTCACGGAGTGTAGTTGTTGACGTGATCTGGCACAGCTGCGTGAACACATGGGTTCGTTGCGCACTCATCAATGTCTACAAATAGTTACCATCACCAATAATGGTTTTACTCAACTATGCCAGTTGGATCATGAATATGTTGCTTTTGCTTTCAAGAACATTAAGGATGCCGTTATATTACGTTTTGCATTGGATAAAAAGATGTATGTCCCTTACGCAGTTTATCTATAATTTACCAAGTGTGACGATTGTTACTTAAGACCCACAGCTCACGTAACATGTGAAGGGACGAAGAACTGGACATGAAATCTGATAGCCTTTTTATACCCCCTTGATTGTTGCTTAACGCCGCAATACGCAGTATTCCAGCCATATGGCGGCGGTCAGTAAATAATCGAGTCTGGACCAGACAATCCGGTGATCCTCTGGCCTGAGCATCGATCTATACAATTGGAATACGATGACATGTGTCAACCAAGTCAGGCAGCGAGCCTGACCACCGATCCCATTAGTCGCCTTTTTACGACAAGCATGGGTTACTGAAGACCAATTCTAATGCCCGGATCTTCACGGGTGAGTATCACTGACTGACTGACTGAGTTTGGTTTACGCCGCTTTTAGCAATATTCCAGCAACATCACGGGGACACCGAAATGGGGCTTCACATTGTACCCATGTGAGATTCGAACCCGGGTCTTCGGCGTGACGACGGCCAACGCTTTAACCATTAGGCTACCCAACCGCCCCTATAGAAGTAGTATCAAAGCGTCAAGTAGTTGTGTTTTAATTGAAACTTTAGAGGTATACCGCGGGTATTATGAGTAAAACAGGTCAACCTGTGCTGCAGTTCAGTCTGTACCCAGGTTCACAGGCTGGTGTAGTTGTTGACGTGGTCGGAACAGGTACCGTTGACACACATGGCTTCGTTGCACAATCGTCAATATCTACAAACAGTCAGTTGTTATGATTTAATCAAAAATGATCATACCGGTTATACCATATATATTGCGTTTACGTATTGTTCCAGTAAATATTTGTGAGAGGATATCATTGAGGTGATACTTAGGTTGATCTTCTTATTGAACTCTGTCATTCTAAATTCCTCCCTAAAGAAATCGCGTAACTAATCGTTTGACACAACCGTTTGGACAGTCAGGGTTTTACTGATGATTAAACTTCGTCGACTACTGCGAACAACTCTCCTCACCTGTGCTGCAGTTCTACGGTCTGTGTACCCAGGTTCACAGGTACAGGTGTTAAAGTTGTTGACGTGAGTCGACACAGGTACCGTTGACACATGGGTTTGTCATCACAGTCGTCAATATCTACAAGCGTTTACATCATGAAGTAACCTATACTGTAAAGATACATAATGTTCTGGACTAATGAATCGTCATAATAAGGACATTTTGCCAATCACCGCAGGCGAGGTGTTCCCACGGACAGCATGGCGCTGGGACGAATGGGGACCATTGAACTATTGGGAATTCTGAGGAAGATGAAGACGTGCTCACCTGTGCTGCAGTTCATGTCCGTGTACCAGGTTCACAGTCACAGGTGGTAGTTGTTGACGCCATGTCACAAAGTACCGTGCTACACGGGGGTTTGTTGAACACTCGTCAATTTCTGGATAGTGATTTACCCAAACTAATTATGTCATTTTGATGATGAATATGTTACGTGTGCCTTCTAAAGACATTTGGATACCATATACGTGTTGTACTGCAGTGTATTTGGATACTGTATGCGCTAATACGTATACGCGTTGTACTGTAGTGTCTGTGGATATCGTATATGCCAATGCGTATACACGTTGTACTGTAGTGTCTGTGGATATCATATATGTCAATGCCTATACGTGTTGTACTGTAGTGTCTTTGGATATCATATATGCCAATACGTATATGCGTTGTACTGTAGTGTCTTTGGATATCATATCTGCCAATGCATATACGCGCGTTGTACTGTAGTGTCTGTGGATATAATAAATGCCAATATATGCGTTACACTGCGCGTTGTACAGGTGTCTGTGGATATCATATATGCCAATACGTATACATGTTGTACTGTAGTGTCTGTGGATATCATATATGCCAATACGTATACGCGTTGTACTGTAGTTTCTTTGAATATCATATATACCAATACATATACGCGTTGTACTGTAGTGTCTTTGGATATCATATATGCCAATGCGTATACGCGTTGTACTGTAATGTATTTGGATATCATATATGCCAATACGTATATGCGTTGTACTGTAGTGTCTTTGAATATCATATATGCCAATACGTATACGCGTTGTACTGTAGTGTCTTTGGATATCATATATGCCAATACGTATACGTGTTGTACTATATTGTATATTTTCTGTCCATATTACTTGGATGACGTTACACTTCGATGCATATCCTTGCAGTTTATCAACAATGAATGTTTCCTCAGTGGATGTTCACGTTTGTGTGATAATTATTCGTCTTGCAACTCTAGATACTCTACTCGCATTAACCCATGTCGTGGTAAAAGAATTAAACCTTAAATCCTGAAAAGCTTTGTAACGGGTTTCAGAGTTGCATAGGGATTGAGTTATACATCGGTGTTTTCACCTCTGTTAGACAGTGGTTTCATTCAACGGTTTCTTACAGTGGACCTCTGAATTTATCGTCGGCACGACGTTCATATAAATAATTTCCTGACGAGATTAATAGGGTAGGGACTACCGTGGTGAGAAAAGACGCCTCACCTGTGCTGCAGTTCGGTCTGTATACCCAGTGGTCACAGGTACAGGTGTAGTTGTTGACGTGGTCCACACAGGTACCGTTGACACATGGGTTTGTCGCACAGTCGTCAATATCTAAATTATATGTTTCATTGTGAATTAAGCAATAGTACTGGGATGTATAATTGTCCGTAGAAACGAATAGGTGTTAACGTGTAGTTGTTGACGTGGTCCACACAGGTACCATTGACACATGGCTTCGTTGCACAGTTGTCGATGTCTATGAAAATCATTATGGTGTATATTCAATGACACACACACACGAACACACATATGCACACAATACACGCTGCTGGAGACACACATTAAATATACACATAACACACACACATATATATATATTGTGAATATCAATATAATATGATGTGCGGTTGTGTGCTACTTTAGACGCTCCCCACGCTCAGTCGTTTAACAGTGGATATTCATCTGAGGAGTCTTAACAATATTGGGCACTGGTGGCAGTCGTGTAAGCTTCCTGAAAAATACTGTTTTCTAAAATCATCTCTATTTCTGATCACTAAGTGTTGTTGTTTTGTTGGGGTTTTTTTGGGGGCAACAATAGTTTCATCCCTGTCATGTAACCACGACATGGAAAACAAACTGGAAAATGAAGTAATTGATATCATGTCACATAAGACGATATCGCTTTTGTTGAAGGTAAAGACATTAATTTTGAATTACGTCGGCGGTGTAGTCGTGCAGACGTTGCTGCTGATACCTGGCGAACATGGTTAAACGGCGTGTTTGGGTGTATTGTATCGGGCCTAACACTTCATGCACTTGCGCAATTGGAAGCTGGAAGAGATGAAATATTTATGGATAACAACTTGAATTCACCTGAACAAATGTCAAGAAGTAGGACTGAAACAAACCTTACAGAAAATAACCTGTTACAAATTTGTTATCCATAATTGTGTACGGCTTCCATACACGTTATTCGTAAATGTTCAAAGTCGTCTATAAAAGTTTGATGCCATCCATAACAATCTCTTGCACTTAGTGAGACATTTTCAGGAACCGATACATGCCATGTAAAATATTGGTGCTATACTAGTAAATCATCTCTGTACACCTGCCTGGGAAGCACGGTGTCCATACAGAAGGAGTCAGAAATAACGTGGAGTTACGGCGAATACGACCATGTGACCATGTGTGAGTTACGACCATGTGTGATCCACGGGTGGACTTCTCACCTGTGCTGCAGTTCCAGTCTGTATACCCAGGGTCACAGTCACAGGTGTAGTTGTTGACGTGGTCGACACAGGTACCGTTGACACATGGCTTCGTTACACACTCGTCGATATCTGCAAACGGGTACATCGTGATTTAACACAAAATAGCTATGATGATTTGATTATTAGTGTGTTACACATTCTTTCCTACCATGTACGTCAGGTTCATGTTTCGCACTGTAAGGTATATTTTGTGTGGAAATTATTCAGATGAATATGCACACAGATGTATCACTTTACAATGTATCTATCATTACTAAACCTACTGTAGATGTTCCAGCTCCTGTGATATTTATTTGCCGTACCACTTTGCATACTCGTGTCAGAAGTAACTTATTCAACGTTAAAACTCGCACCTTTCTCAGGGTATTTTCAGTTAAATATAAGTACGATGTATATCAGTCAGATGCGTTAGACATTAGCAGCAGTCATGTGTGTTTTTAAACACGGGCGTCTTCAACAATCATCCCAATATAAGATACAATTACGCAAAGAAACACCCTATTTTAACATTGTCTTAACTCCCAGAGTGTCAGAAGGGCTGTGTTCTAGAAGGTGAACACTGGGCAGCCTCCCAGTGTCAGCCAAATGTTTGAGACATTATGAAGTGACGCTCTCTACCTGTTCTTATCGCTACCGTGCACGTGGTTAAAACCCATGGAGGATTGGGGAAACGTTGTCATGTCACTTAAGACACTGTTTTTGTGCCAACCCCAGACATCCACTAATGACGTGTTGCGCAGTGTCATTATATATTGATAACATACGGTCAATATTTTTTCTAATGCAAAATCAAATTATTTTAATATTGCCGGTTTCGAGTGGTTATTGACTGTTGTTACTTCCCAGGCTACCATGCTATGCATGGTTACGTTCCTTCTCAGCACTCTGCAGGTAAACTTGACCCAATAGTCGCTCAAACTGCCTCGACTTGAAAACCCACCTGTGCCAATTTCGTATTGTCATTGCTGACTTTCATTTCTCTACAAGAACCATACGACATTCCGAATATGTCGTGGTTCCTTGGACCAATGAAGATCCGAGGTTAGAATTGATCTTCAGTTACCCAAGCTTGTCGTAAGAGGCGACTAACGGGATCGAGGTGGTCAGGTTCGCTGACTTGGTTGACACATGTCATCGTATCCCAATTGCGTAGATCCATGTTGCTGTTGATCACTGGAATGTCTGGTCCGAACTCGATTATTAACAGACCGCCACCATGAGAGCTGGAATATTGCTGAGTGCGGTGTAAAACTAAACTCACTCACTCGTGCATCCTTGGCTCCTTTAGGAAAATTGTGTAAATCTTTCATCTGCCACAGCAGGGTTATAAGAGATATATTAGTGTACAGAGCACAGTACACAATCACATTGTCATGGAGGGCCTTCGTTACACAAACTACACCAACGCATGATGTCAGGAACATATTTTGGCATGAAGCTGTCATTATCCTGAATTTGTTTCATTCATCAATGAACAACAGAACAAAACACAGGTGCAGTATATGGTTTGATGGCTTTATACAGGCTTTCTAGAGGTTTACGTTCTGTATCCCTTAATATATATATTTGATATTCCATGAGATCGTCAGTGACTCCTCCTCCAAGTAATGATTCTACCCTGAGGAGTCTCCTCTATTGTTATATTGTAATGTAGTGACTCATAAGATACTCAAAGTAGGAGATGGTTAAGGGAACATAATCAGTTCGTATGGATTCCTTCTTTCCACTGTTGACAAAGCAGGCCAACTGTTTGTTATAGGTTATAGGTCTGTATGAGCTAAAGCAGTCTAATAATATACACTGACTCCTTTGTTGCTTTGTAATGTACGTTTGTAATGATACGTTTTCAAAAAGCTTCTGAATACAGTATAACAGGATGCTTTAATTTGAGTAAAATAAATGTGTGAAGCGAAAGTCATTCCAGATTGATAAAACTAATAAAACAACCGTCGGTCCATAATCTGCAGACACATCGGTGGGCCGGAAAGCGGGGAGATGTGTCCATCTGTGTGATGTAGAGGTGGACAACCCCGGGAAAACATGGTGCAACATTACAAGGGACGAGATTACCGTGGTGAGTGCAGGACGTCTCACCTGTGCTGCAATTCCATTCTGTGAACCCAGGTTCACAGGTACAGGTGTAGTTGTTGACGTGGTCGACACAGGTACCGTTGACACATGGGTTTGTCGCACAGTCGTCGATATCTACAAACAGTTGCATTATGAATTAACCAAAACGTATCTGTATGCTTTGGTTTTGTGTATGTTTATGCCCATATCAAAACACGTTATATTCACTGGCCTTTGGATTGCTGACATCTAGATACATATTAATTAAGAGATGCCGTTCATATAGATACTGTCCTTTTTACATCGTGTTTAATACATACCCAAGGTTCGGCCCCTGGCTTGGAGTAACAATATAGCTAGGGTGAATAACCATTCTGAGGCAAACGTCTTTAATTTGCCCTTTCTACTGAAACTGGAGTGAGTGAGTGAGCTAATATTTAACGTCACATCGGCAATATCTCAGCCATATCGTGACGAAAACAATTTATATAATACAAAAAAGAAAACATTGGGAAGAGTTAAACCTGTCGACGATGGACAGTAAAAATACTAGATTATCACAGACATAAACATAAAACTAGCATGTAAAACTAAAACAGTGTAATTAAAGAAGACAATACAATATAAAACACGGGCTGTTAGATCGCCAGCATCTGAAGGTAGATCACCATACTAGGAACCATGGGGACTTACATTACTTTTGCTACCTGCATGGAGCCATCCCTTCAGCCGGTGGCGTTTGTAGGATACTTTAGCCGAAATTAGAAGAACTAAAATACTACGTTTAAAAAATTGGTACGTGAAAAATTTACTTTGAAAGAGTTTGGGACTTACGTACCCTCTCAGGAGGACAATAATTTTACGCTTCTTCAACCCCCTTTGAGGATACAGCCACTAACAATCTAAGTTGATACTACCAATTATAAAACTGTATCTATTTGCAAAACATATATCAAAATTCATTTAACAAATCTATCTCTTTTAAAAAATCAATGATTAAATGATAATTAAGTTATTAAAAAGGTCCTTTACTGTTTTGATATTGAAATATTTATCCCTTATGACGGCTACTGAAACTGGAAGCTGAGACAAGCAAACAGTTTAAACATTGATGGCTAACGTATTGATCTTACTGGCAAAACAGATAGTCCCTAAATACCATTTGCTAAGGGGAATATTAGTGCATAAAACAAAGTTAAATGAGTGCACTACACTCTCAACAGACATATCATACTTAATTTGGGTTGCGCGGACCTAAGAAGGATGTGGGTATTAGTCACGTTGTGTTTCCTTTGTCCCATCTATCAAATCCTCAAGATGTTTCTTAAAGTTTATGATCCTCATATTTCTCCTCATAAATAGTCCCTCAAACAATCTTGAAATATTCGTATTTCAAGTCGTCCTATAGTTTGGTACAATGAATGTTTCTGCATTCGGAATTTGTACACAGTGTAACAAACAAGATGACAACAGTTAGAGTTACTGATATTTTGTGGTGTATTGTTTTGATACAATGATAAGTTAAGATTGATTTATAATCACACATTACTTAGAATACACATGTATTATGTATGAGGAACCGGGACAAACGTGAAGAAGACTTATTCATTTCAGACTTATTCTTTTTTACGAAGGTTAGGTTACTGTCACCACTAAACCTAATTCTGACGATGTTGTAATCGACAATTATACTCAAGTTTCTTCTGCTCTGTTGTTTCAATTTTTTTATCAGATTATAGCGTAAAATGTTTTGAATGAATGAATGAATGTATGAATGAATGAATGAATGAATATTGCTTTACGCCGCATTAGCAATATTCCAGATATTCGCAGCGAAAAGGGTTTTGAACATTTAGCATTCCAAGGCAGCGGTACAATAACACAGCCCAAAGACGTATATACGTCTTTGCACAGCCTATTTGAAACGGTATCTAGAATTCAATAACTTATGTGCCAAAGAATTATTTTATTTGCAGAACGAGAAGAAGAAGAAGAAGAAGAAGAAGAAGAAGAATAGGCTGATACTATAAGAGGCAGTGTTATACGCTGCTCAAGAATGTTCAGCTGTTAAACATTGTCTATATACATGCAGTGTGGGGCAAAGAGGTGAATATTACCATGACACGTGTATCAGCAATATCTACTGTCAAGATCTTAACTTCTTTGAGTGGCATTTTAGAAGTTAGGAAGTACAATATAGAACTAATTTTATGGATAACAACTTCTTTCTATTCGTGAGTGCGACGTTTCGATACAGATTCTTGTACCGTTGTCAAACATAATGGGACATTGTTACATCCAGTATATATATACTTCCCCCTTCTTAATGTCCCATTATGCTTGACAACGGTACAAGAATCTGTATCGAAACGTCGCACTCACGAATAAAAAGAAGTTGTTATCCATAAAGTTAGTTCTATATTGTCAAGATCTTACCTGTCTCGCAGAAGCTGCCAGTGTATCCAGCAGTACAATTACAGGTGTAATTGCCCACCTGATCCTCACAGCTGCCGTTTTGACAGCTGTTTTTGGCGCAATCATCCAGGATGTCTGTAAGAACGGAGGATTATTACATGTATATCTGATTGATGACGATGAGTTAAACGCCGCCTATTTCCCGGTGTGTCAGAAGAATGTGGGAGAAAGCCCGAGGTGATACAGAACACTAACGTGAACCACGTGACGTGAACCACTTTGATGCAAGTTAAGAGCAGGACATTGATGCTAAAATCACTTGAAGCATAATCGTGTCGAACCGGGATTCGATATATTTATCATTAGCTTCTGGCTTAGCCAAAAGACGCAACTACGTACAGCGATTTTCCCGTCAGACGCCTGGACAACCCATGCCCTCTCCCTTCCCCACATTGAGCCTGAACACCTAGCGTACATTCACCCTGGTCATGATGTACATGTACATGCATGTGAGTGCAGTCGAATACAAGTTTATTTTGCAGGAATGAACCATAGCCGTTTCTGCACTATGCATTTCTTGGGTTATCATTTATACAAAGGACAGGCGACACGTAAATAAGAACGACAAAACCGGATCTACAGGAAACATCTGCCAACAGCAGAGTCGATCGTACAATGTCGACTGTATCATGAGCATTTGGTTATCAGTCACTTTGAGAAACTCTATTTTGTACACTCAAGAATATGTCTTGAACAGTTGAAAAGTGTACTATCTAACACAAACACTTTCTGTATTGGTACAATGTATTTTTTGTAGTGAGCACAAGTGTATGGATGTTGAGAAAGATAAAATCAATAAGATACATTATTAATGATATGTTACAAATAATTATGTTTTCCCCTTTGTGAGACCCAAACACATAAATATATCGACATTTTTTAACAACGGCTTATTCTATCTTCTGAAGAAAAATGTTCTAAACATGCCTGTGTTTACACAAACCAAACCAGTGGAGGGTACCTTGGTACCATTAAACATCGTCTCTACACCAAAAACACCTGCTCATACAGTGAATACTGGTGTTTCAATCCCGATCATATTATGATAACTTATCTCTGACCAAGTCGTCCAAAATTAACCGTTATCTCACCCCAAGTCATCAAATTGTAACTGTTATCTCAGATCAAATTATCCCATCTGAGCTGATGTTCGAGACCAAGTCATCTCATGATAACTGTAAACCGAGTTATCTCCGCTCAACCCCCATATAAGAATATATCATCTAAGACCCCGTCTTGTGACAACTGATTTATTAAACCCAGTCATCTCCTGATAAAGTGCCATCTCGATGCACCCCCTTTAATCTCATAAATCATTCCTGTTTGGATTTGCAGCAACTCAAATTGACATGCAGAAAATACCTTGTACTATATTCTGCTTATTGTCTTCAAAGGCTTCTTAAATAATTTGGATAATTTTGGCACATTTCCTAAATTGTGCTGGGCGGTGGGGTAGCCTAGTATATAAAGCGTTCGCTCTTCACGCCGAAGACCCGGGTTCGATTCCCATATGAGTACAATGTGTGAAGCGTTTTTTCTGGTGTCCTCCGCCGTGATATTGCTAGAAGCGGCGTAAAACCATATTTACTCACTCACTCAATTGTGGAGAGGAAAACACGACTAATTATGTTCTTTTCTTATTAAAATCAAATACGATACGAGAGCAAATACGATGTTGGACCATGCTCTTTATTTCAATGTCATTTGTCAGGCATTTAGTTTTATGGATAACAGATCTATGCTTCAAGTGACGGGGCAAATTTGACAATGTGTTCTAATCTGTTGGCAGCAAAAATGATTGATCCTGATGATTTCAAGTAACCCGTGACCAAGAAACGATCATTATTACCCACGTTGTCAACGTGAGATTCTAACGATTTGATTGCATAACCGATGACCTCTCATTTAGGTCACGTTGTGACGGAACTACATGACAAACAGGTGAATTCCTTCATTTTACAACTTATATGCATTGTGGGAATGTAAATATTGCGAACGTTGCCGTATCGCTGTGTAATTGTGAGTTGAACTGGGACATCCGTCGAAAAACCAAAACGCAATGTGTCCACCAGTGCTGTTAGCCGAGTGAGGCAATTGAAAACAGAGCCTTAGGGATAAATTGAGAATGCTTTGTGTTAGTCGGGACTTGACCCTGAGACAGCGACTAGGCAGGTTGGCTGACCATCGCCTCCGACATGCCGCCTAGTCATTGTTGTAACTTCATGTAGTTATACAAATTGAATCATGAATAAAAGTGTTGTGGACCCACTGATGGACTTCTGTCATTGAAGACACAGTTATCCCTCCAAACAGCCCGGGATACATGGTGGAGTCCAAGATCTCGGAACCTCTCAGCAACAAAGGTCTTGAGCGAACCTCCGTCGATATACATCCATCCTGGGTCCACATCACATCGAAAGTTACAGAACCACCAACATCAGGCTACAGCAACAGCTGACCACCCAGCATGTCTACTGTGACTCTTTCCAGTCTCAAGGACACGGTTCATCAAATACAACTGTTGTGATATTGTGCTTTCACGAAACACCGTTTTGAAACAAGAAG